GAATAGAAGCTGCTGGTGCAGGAAAGTCAGATTTCATGAGCTAGAGAACAAACCAAAAGTAAGAAAAAAGAAACAAACCCTTGGTGATAAGTGACGTGGAAAAGAATCAAGTAGTTGTTAGTTGAACTCTAACACAGCGATGCTGCTCGGAGCCGGGAGGGACCCGTGTAGATGGTCCCACTGCTTTTACAGCATCCACTCTGCAGATGCACGCAGCTGGGAGTTCTCCTCAGGGCTGGCTGGGGGCTACCATGGAAATCAGAGACACTCATAATCCTACCCATTAATTCATTCGGTCTTCCATCCATCGAGTTGTTCATTCAATAAACTTCATGCAGAGTCTGCCATGGGCCAGGCGTAAGGCACAGAGCCTGCCCTTAGGAAGCACCACCAAGCAGAGGTGGAGGTGGGCTAGCACCAAGAGACACCTTCCTCCTTGCTTCACGTGTCACAGAGGGAAACGCAAGAGAATGGCACTGCTGGTCCCTCTCCACTCTCTCAGGGCTCTCGTTGGGCGAGGAGGAGACAAATATTCACATGCAAGTCTGTGAAAGGGAACCATACACGTGGATCCCGCGGGGTCCCGCGTTCCTGCAGCAGGAGCCCATTTTCTCTCTGCTGTCCAGGCTGTCCGGGTTGTAGAGGTAGATGCTCTGTCAGTTCGCTGCTCGGGTGCCACGTTAGCCAGTCCACTTTACCATCCAGCCCAGAGTCAGAAAAAATAGCCCCTGAACCCTTGCACTCAAGATGACGTCTTTATCTTCCGTTGTGACTGACTCAGCTCTCATTGCCAGCAGGGTTCAGAGTCGTCATTTACGACCGCTGCCCTTTGCCACAAGGATCCCACTATCTTGTTTCCCCCCTTTTCTTCCCCAGCCACTGTTGTGGCTTACAGTACTTTGGTGATGGGCAGTTTTGTCACTCTTTCACAGGAGAAAAACTATAGAACTTGAGCACTGAATGACTAATCAGAGGGCATTTGATAAGCTAATTTGTTCATTTTGGATGGAAAATTCAGACCCCACCCCTGGCACAGATGTCATTTAGAGCACATGGCCTTCTGTTTGAAATCCTTTGGAGGAGTGGTGAATACTGGAACTCATTTTTCTGCCATGGAAGAGGAGCTACTATTCTCTTAGGTCCAGGAGAGAAACACTATGTACAGTAATTATCCACTCCACTTTTCTTACACAGCTCTGAGGATGAAGCATAAAGGAGGGGAATCGGGACCAGGAGTAGAGAAACCCTTCTCTTGTCCTGGGGCATTTGTATTTCATTCATAGAATAATTACTCATGTCTGCCTGGATGCCAGGCACCAATCTTGGGAAACAGAGATGAGCACGATATTATACCTGATGAATCCACTTTTTCCCCCTCCCAGCAACCATCTCTGTTAGAAAACAGCCCCTTACTGGACACCACCATCTACATAGTCTGTCCGCAGAGAACGGACTGCGCTTGGTTTCTGCAGCTGTCCGCCTCGTTCTCCAGCTATTTGGAGTAATTTCTTACAATACGATATTTTGTTTTGTTTTTTTTAAAGACAAAGGCTGCCAGAAGAACCCCAGTCTGAACGCAGACCATAATGTGTGGCTGGAGACCACAACTCTGAGCCGCTCATCTGCCCACGGCTGCAAGGCTTGGGTCACGACCAGGTTGAGGATTAGACGTCGGATGTTGTCATTCAAAGAAAACCTAAACCGGGATTACCGTAAAATGAACAAAGGGCACCTCTTTTTCATCTTATACTCAAGGCTACAGCTTTAGCAAAATGAATGAGCCCCTACTTGCTCTTAACACTTTAACAAGTTCAAGCTTACTTAAGAAAACACATTACCCGTGTAATACAAAACAAACCTTCTAATTTGGTGCTACTTACAAAGACTGGCATGAATAAGTGAAAATTCAGGATATAAACAGGTTCCAAACAGTATAGCTTTTTTCAAGGAGAAGGATGGGAGGGAGCACAAATAACATTTAGTGAGAATCCATGTTCTAGGCACCCTTTATGAGCCCTTTCCTTTATTTAACCCTCACAACTTTAGTGGGAAGAAAACAGTGTGCCCATTTTCTTCCCAGATGCAGAAACTAAAACTCAGATGTCAAGTAACACGAATTATATTTCCTATTCCATTTCCGTTGGCAAAATTCCTTATTCTCTGAATCAGTGTTTCTCAATGAGCTTGGGGAATTGGGTCATTCCTTGGTCGTGGGTTGGGAACTTTGTATGGGATGGCCCTGCACTGCAGGACATTCAGAATCTCTGGTCCATGGGCACAAAATGCCAACAGCAGTCCCTCCATGTCTCAAACATGCCTTAGGAAGACAATGACCCCCTCAGATGAGAGCCTCTGCTCTAGAAGAGTCTTAGAGCATCAGAAGACTGAAGAGAGGGGCACTGCCTTTTCCTTTAAAAGTCTCCCCTACCTTCAAATGTCTCAGAAGTCCCTTACCTTATGGCATTTGGGCTCCTATGAAAGCTCCATGTACCTTTGTGGAGTCAGTTTAAAAGCTCCATGGGTGTGTTTCCCATGCATTCCGTCAGCATTTATTGAATAACTGTACCAGTCTGGTAATGTGCAATTGCTTGGGAGTATATAGTCAAAGAGTGCATGGTACCCCCTCCCAAGGGATTGCAGTCTTAGAGTTCAGTGAGAGGCATTAAGTACCTAAGTGTCAGGACAGATGGAAGCCCAAGTGGTAAGGAGATGTCCGGTTGGAGGCAGCTCCCACAGAAGGGACAGAGCACTCAGGAGGCAGAGGGAAGGGAGGGCTGGGGCAGGTTCCCAGAGGAGATGAAGTTTCCCCTGAGCCTAGAAAGACCAACTGAGAGTAGCCAGTGTGGACCAAGTTTCAAACCGAAAAAACTAGCCAAGGCAGGGAATTGGATTAGGTAGGGGTTTAAAAGGAAAGGAAAATATATGAGACAAATGAGAAAGAGTATTGACATCTATTGTTCTAGGTAGTGGTTTCATGGATGTTTGTTGTATCTTTCTAATTTTCTTTGTTTTAAAGTTTTTATCATACAAAATTAGATTAAATTATAACTTAAAAAAAACCAAAAAACTGCCGTTGCAAAGACCAGAGGTAGGAATTGTACTTTCAGCCAAAGTTTAAAATATTCCCTGCATTCAAGTTGAGACCTCATTGTGATTCAAACTCAGGATCTCCTGCTCACAAGATAGACACTTTAACCAAAGAAGTCACTAGAAAAGAAAATAAGCTTTTCGCAGTCCATGCATACTTCTTTCCCCAGTCTTTGTTTTTGTAAGGTCTGGCTTTGCTGGTATAATAACCCATCAGACAAGAATTGTGACTAATTCTACACTTCTCCCAGAGAGCAGGAAATTGTTTAAGTACCCCATAGACTGGCAACCAGTGGGAATGCCCTTCACTGAGGACACAGAAGAGTGGGGAAGAGAAGAGGTAATGTCATCTGAAGGAAGAGGTAGAGGGGCATCAGTAGGTTAACTTACCACTTGGTCTCAAGCGCAAAATGAACTTCATCATTTTATTTTCTTTCATCTAAACTCTTGTCTCAGTTACCATCAACAGTAACTATGTGAGTAGCCAGATTCTCACCCTATTATTACATTTGCACAGAAAAGAGAGCTTCGGTTGTTTTTTTTTAAAACCACATATATGAAATTTTATATACACACAAACACATAAATTAAAAGCCAAATATACATAAGTACATTAACAGTAAGTAGGTAGATAGACATGTCCATCTAGGGATCTCTGAACCTGAGATTGCCCCAAAAGCAAGTTTCCTGAGTTAATGGACACTGAGCACACGAGCGGGGTTGTTGCTACTTCAAGGTGCTAAGGAATTATAAAGAGAGCAAGAGTCAGATTATTTCAGTTTCTCTCACCTGGGGTGGGAAGGGGAGAAGGAAACCAGTAAGCCCTTGTGGTTCCTTCTTGTCTTCAGCCTCCAAGGAGCAGGCTCATTTCCCCCTTGGAAAGGAGCCCCGCGCAGCTGGCAGGCACGGCCTTTTTTTCCAACCCCTCCTTCCCCACTGACCTGAGCCACACTCAGGAACCATAATTCTGCAGGTGAACTCAGGCTCCCCTTTAGTTCCACGGTCATTTCATTTTATCATTCAGGCACAGTTGGACTGCTTGTTTGACATCACAAATGCGTCTGGCCCACATATTTTCCCCCAGAAACTACTCTCAACAAGAAAGTCTGTGTTTCAAGGTGAGAGAATCTGAAATGAAACCTCGGGATCCCTCACAAACCGCCTGTCCCTGCTTTCAACCAGGAAGTTCAAAGGGAGCAGTCTCGTCTGTGATCCAGCCCAAACTGCAAAGCCAAAGGCCAAAACTATAGGAAGAAAGATAAGGGTGGGTTTCAAAGAAAGGGATTCACCCCAATCGAAGGGGCTGGTTGTCCTTATTCCCAGCTGATTCCACTTCGCTTCTGCAAACTTTGCTAACCTCAGGAGGGGTGTATAAAGGTAAAGGGAGACAGGTGTAGGGACACCTCCACCCTCTGGGTACATCTGCTGCTGTCACTGCCGGATACACACGACAAGGGGCCCTCGACCCAATAGCAGTCCATGCTTCCCGATGACGCACCTGGCGAGGGTCCTCTCCCATGTGTCGGGGGCGGGGGGCAAAGCAAGCATCCCCAGCCTCGAAGTCACCCGGCTGGCCTCGGCAGGCGGGGGCAGCGAAAAGGGCACCTCGCGGCTGAGACCTCATGCCGATCTCTCGGGCTTTCCCCCCATTTTCAGCACATTGTTTCTCATTAGGGACACTCTCCGCCTCCAACCCTAGAGTCCTGCGCATTAACATGTCTTTCCAAAGCAAGTGACTAAAGCGCTTACCGGCCTTCCGTGGCTCAGGTGAGTGCCAAAAGGTGTAAGAGGAAAGGGCCCGCTCGCCACCACCCTCTTTCCTCTCCTCCCCACGTTCCCCAAGCCTCATCAGGGATATGTGTGTTGGGGTGCGCGGGTTAAGAGGGAACTTAAAATGCCCAAGCGTCCCTTACCTTCCACAGCCATTCTCTCAGAGCTTCCCTAACGCATGCATAATTTTCTTGGCCGAGATACTCCTCCTGCCCCGCGCTCCCCCCTCCTCGCGCTTTCGCCTAAATATTCTGCGCTCATCTGCTCCAGGACCAACCTGCCGCGGTCACGCAAAGCGAGGCTGCCGGCTCCCGGCTCGGCGCAGGGCATCCTGGGAAGTGTAGTTCCCTCTCTTCACTCCGACTCGGGAGAGCAGCCCGAATCCTCAGCGGGGAGCGACCTCCCCTCCACACTGGGATGAAAGCTTCGGCTTCAGCAGACCTAGGCAGAGCAATCCCTCTTGGGGGGGATCTTGTGAGCGTACCGGGGAACCCCAGGTGGTGGCGTGGACTACATTTCCCAAGATTCCCTGCGCTGGCGTTCGTTCCGCGCCAGGAGTAGCGACCCGTGATTGAGATCTTCCCTGTCGATTAGAAGAGGGTAAGCACCTGGCAGGGCTCTTGCGGGAGGCAGGAGGCGGCGGGGTGTCTGGTGTGATCTTCCGGGCTTGTCACCGGTCTCCTTGGCCACTCGTTTGGTGAGGAAGCAGAGCCACCGGCCGACTGTGTTTTTCCGCCTGGGCCAGAGAGCCGCTGCACCGGTGAGGTTGAAACTTGTTCCTCTGAGACCTGGGCTGTGGGTGAGGGAGAATCTCGCCAGGAGATAACAACTGTGTTCTGTTCCTCCAGGTGGTTCAGGTGGCTAAACACTTAGCCTAATAGGGATGGGGGAAAGCTAAAAAAAAAAAAAAAATCACTAACCGTATCACCCCTAAGCGGTTATTAGGAACAAAATCTTGGATCCAGGATTCCACCTGAGGATGTCAGATTATGGAAACCTGTATGGCTTCCAAGGTAGGAGGCTCTCAGCTTGTCTGGCCGGGGAGCCCCTTGGCGTTCTGCTACGGGGCCTAACAGTTAACACCGCCTAAGAGTGTTTTTTCAGCTTATGAACATGCGTACGAACTCCAGGTTCTGGGAGTGCTATAAGCAGACAAGAAAAAGAATCACAGGGAGGGCAATAGAATTCGAGAGCTGGTAAATACTGATAAACACAAGTTTCCAAGCTTTTTTTTTTTCCCTCCCTGCGTGTGGAAATACAGATACACTTATCGCTGGTGGAGGTAAGGGAATGGTCTTGGGAACAAATCTCAGGACTCCAGGAATATTTTTAAAGGCTTTGAGCTCAGAATTGCATATGGTGCCACTTTCACCCAGCCCCCAGCTCTTCTGCCCCACATTTATTATTGTTATTTTTTTCAGTTACTCTGGAAAATAACTCTTAAGGAAATACAAGGATTCAATTCTTCCCATCATCTTAGATTGACTTAGTCTCTCTTGGTCTTAGTTTTTTTTCTTTTTTAACACTGAACAATTTTGTTTCTGAGTGTGTATGTGCACACCTGCTTTTCTAGTGGCTAAGTATGTGCTTAGTCCTCTTATTGGGTGATATGGCTGTGTCTGGGTACTTTAAAAAAAAATACCAGTGTGTAACCAGTAAAAGCCCTTGGTGATACTTTAATCTGAGTTCATAGAGCTGTATGCAGTTCAAACTCACGCCTTCCATTCTTGGTACAGTAGAGAGTGTCCTATTCAGTGAGACAAAATTGCCATTTGGGTAAAATAGCTTTTCCAATGCAGATATGGAGGCCAGCATTTCAAAATCTGGAAGGAACTAAAGTCCAGATGCTTCTAAGTATATAAAATCACCTAAGTGTTAAGTCTTTCCTTAGGTTGAATAAGTGGTAAAGAAAGCTGTGGGACAGGTAATATCAGCAGTTCTTAGCCTTGTCTATGCATCAGCCTTTTACAAACACACATTCCTAAGCCCCACCTTAGTCTCAGACTCAGGATTTCTGAAGGTTTGGTAGAGACACTTAAGGTTAAAAACGCCACAGGTGATTCTAATCTGCAGCAAGGGTGAAAACCATTGGTCAGTTTTCAAGCTTTGAAGGATCTGACTTTCAGTAAGTCACTGAAATCCATTTTTAATTTGAAAACTTCATTTCAGCTCAAATCTTTAAGGTGTTTCCCAACTGATGTGCATTCAGTTTGAGTTTCATTTTTTAGCATAAATGTAAATGAGATGTGAAGGAAATATTAGTTTAACCACATGAAATAGCCAATTTTAACTTAAAAAAACCTATAAATAAAGCAATATCATGTGGTTCAACCTGATAAAGGATTAGCAGGAGTTAAACAGGGGTTTTCAGTTCTGGCTGAATATTAGTATTATCTGGGAACTTTAAAACGATTCCCACTAGAATGACCAAGAGAAAAAGACAGAAAATACTAACTCCAGGGCAAGATTGTGGAGCAGTAAAGACCCATGTGTACTGCTGGGATTGTGAAAATTGATACACCCACTCTGGAAAAACCACTTGGCATATTAAACTGAGTATGTCCTTATCCAGTGACCCAGCAGTTCCCCTCCCAGGTATATACCAAACAGGTGTGCATACGTGTCATCTCCAAAAGACGTTTAGGAATGTTTATGGCTGCACTGTTTGTAGTAGTTACAGACTAGAAACAACCTAAATGTTCATCGACAATAGATTGGATAAATGAATTATAACCAAACTATCCTATATAGCAGGGACCAGCAAACTGTGGCCCGTGGGCCAAACACGACCCACTGCTGGTCTTTTTATGGCTCATAAGCTTTGAGTTGTTACATTTTTAAATGGTTGGGGGAAAAATCAAAAGAATAATATTCCGCAACATATGAAAATTGTGTAGAAGTACCTACATAATATTTTCAGTTTTGCTTTTTGGCCTACAAAGTCTAAAATATTTCCTGTCTGGCCCTTTACAGGAAAAAAAAAAGTTTGCCAGATTCTACTATAAAGTAATGAGAATGAATGAATTACAGCTGCATAGAACAAGATGAAGGAACTGTATGTATTAGTTATCTATTGCTGGTGACAAATCACCCCAAAATGTAGTGGCTTGAAGTAAACAGTCATTTATTATCTCAGTTTCTGTGGGACAGAAATTTGGGCACAGCTCAGCTCGGACCTCTGCTTCAGGGCCTTTTACAGGCTGCAGTCAAGGTGTTGGCTGGGCTGAAGTCATCTGAAGGCCTCACTGGGGAAGGGTCAGCTTCCAAGCGCACATGGTTGTTGGGAGATTTCAATTCCCCACAGGCTGTTGGACAAAGGGCCTCACTTCCTTGCTGGCTGTTGGCCAGAGGCCATCCTCAGTGCTTTGCCTGAAGGGCCTCTTCGACATGGCAGCCTGCTTCATCGAAGCATGCGAGCTGCGAAGGCAGTAGAGTCCGCTAGCCAGCCAGAGGTCGCAGGCTTTTGTAACCAATTGTGAGAATGCTCCCGCCTCAGTGTTGCTGCATTCTATTAGTCAGATGCCAGTTATTCAGGGAGAGGAAATTAGACAGGGCCATGAACACCCCACCCTAAGGTGGTGGGGATCATTGAGGGTCATCTTAAGAGGCTTCTTACCACAACACACAGACAGAATATTGAACAAAATTAAGCCAGATAAAAAGAAGTACATATTGTGTGATTCCATTTATAGGAAGTTCAAAAAACAGACAAAACTAATCTACGGCATTAGGGCCCTACCCGTGAGGGCATCTGGGGTGTTGGAAGTATTCTGATTCTTGAGCTGTGTGCTGTTCACAAGTGTATAATGTTTGTGAAAATGTATAGAATTGTAATCATACGCTTTGTGGAAGAGAGAGAGAGTGTGTGTGTGTGTTTGTGTGTGTGTTTTATACTTCAATTAAAAGTTTTAAAAAGAAATATATGCTTAGATGCAATTAAATGATGTGACCAATTTATCAGTCACTCTGATTATTTGCCTTATGTTTCTTTGCCAGAGCAAAGTGACAGTTCCATTCCATTTAACATGTCTTGAGGACCTACTGTGTGTCAGGCACTTGTCTAGATGATGGAAGGCTGAATTTCTAGAAATAGTCCTCAAGAGTCCATACTGTAATCCCTTGAACTGTGATAAGACATTCCTCCTGTGACTGTGTTGATATGGCCCAGTTGACCTTAAAAATGGAGCATTATCCAGGAGGACTAATCTAATCATAAAAGAATTTTCCCCAGATGGTAGCAAAGAGAAAGGCAGAGGAGGAACTTAGACTCTAGGCATGAAAAAGACTCAATATTCCGGTTACCCATTTGAAGATAGAGAGGGCCCTGGTACACAGCCAGCAAGGAAACGTGGACCTCAGTCCTACAGTGATGAGAAACCAGATTCTGCCAAGAACCTGGATGAGCCTGGAAGTGGATTCTTCCCCCAGAGACTTCAGATCAGAATCCAGCCCACGTGACACCTTGATTTAGGTCATAAATCCTGAGCAGAGAACACAGGTGAGGCCGCCCAACCTTCTGCACTTCAGAACTATAAGCTAATAAACCAGTATTGTTTTTTAAGCTGCTAAATTGGTCTATTTTTATTTGTTAATGATTCTGTTTAGTTTGTTGTGCAGCCATAGAAACTAATACAAGACACATCCTGTTCAAAGCAGACGGTTATCCTGGCCCTACTTTTGTGGGTGGAGACGGTTTTAAAATACGATATTCATAACACCAGTGCTGACAAAGTGCATCAGAATCTCTGGAGGCAGGACTCCCACCCCCTTTTTTTCCCCTCTTTTTTCAAGTGCTTCAGGAGATTCTAATCTGTAGTTTCTATTGCGTGATCTTGTTAAAGGAATAGAGACCAAAATGCTTGGGTAAGAAGTAAAGAGGAAATATACGCGGCATCCCTCTCTGTTACGGGCTCTGGTGACCCGTCACCGAGTGTTGCTGCGTTGTCCTCAACCTACCTCTTGAATGTGGGCTTCCTCTCCACTCCCTCTGCTGCTGTGCTGGAGGGGGCTAACCAGGGTTTCATTTAAATAATGTGCGTGCCTCCACTGGTTCCATGGGGACAGGGATGGGTCCTGGTTCTGCTCCCTTTTGATGTTCCAGCCACCGGCACTGTCTGGCACGTAATAAATACTTAATACATATATTATGTGTTGATAAATAATGCCTGACTGAAGGAGTGTGTGAATAAACGACCTAATCATGATGAGAGCTCCATTTTCCCCAGTGAAACTGCAAGGTAGTATTTTGTTTTTGTTTGTTTTAATGCTTCATACTCTTAGAAGCAGACATTTTAGTTTAAAAAAAATTCAAAAGTGACTTAGAAACATGTTGATTTAAGCCCCCTCATTTTACAGTTATGGCAGGAGAGCTCAAAGATTTGCCCAGATCACAGCATGGCCAAACAGCGTCGGGAACCCAGGTCCAGGCCAAGGCATGTTTGTCGAGGATGAGGGAGGGGGTGGGAGGATTTCTGTGGCTCTAGGCTTGGCTTGGTGTGGTCTGATGGCTAAGCTTTAATTCAGAGAAGCTGGGACAGCTCTGCTCCTCACTGCAGGTTTGTGGGTGGGTTGAGGGAGCGCTCCCAGAGCTGAAAGGGCAGCCATTCTCATAGTAATGGTGGAAGAGCCAGTGGGCAAAAGGAAACACTCAAGACTTTTTAAGGCCTGGCTTAGAACTGGGGCACTGTCACTTCTCCTACTATGACATGTGTCAAAGCAAGTCACGTGGCCAATCTCAAAGTCAAGGTGTGAGGATATATA